GCTGTTTGTGAGATTGCATGTATGTATAGGAGTATATTTATGTTGTACTGTGTGTATAAAGGGGTCTGTTTGTGGCATACTGTTGTACAGCGCTGCAGAATTTGTTGGTACTATAAACATAATAATAATACTATGTGTGGCTAGGGGGAGTAGTGTGTGTTTCTTGGCTGTAAACTACGCATGTGTGAGTATTTATAGGGCTTGTAGAGTGTGTGGGCTTAGGGGATGGTGTTGTGTGTGCAGGTAAGGGCTCTCCAGGCTGTACTGTGTGTGTGTTTCTAAGAGATGCAGGGGGTTTCATTTTGTGTGCATGTAAGGGTTGTACTGTGTGTGTGTATCTAGTGGTTGTAGTGTATGTGTATAGGGGTATAGTATTTATAGGGGATAGAGAGTAGTGTGTTGGGGTAGGGGTGGTGCGACGACAAGGCAGATTAGGCAGCCGCCCACCGCACATCGGGCGGGGTGGTCTCCGGGTGACTGGCAGGAGGAGGGAGCACAGCACAGAGGGGCTGGGGAGGGGAGAGGCACACAGAAGGTTTGGGGAGGATGAGAGGCACTCAGAGGGCTGAGAGGGGAAAGAGGAACATAGAGGTCTGAGTGGGGTAAGAGGCCTACTCAAGGGCTGTAGGGACAAAGAGGAGCTGGAGGGAGATCTGGCATCCCTAATCTGGTCCTTTGATCTCCTCTGCCAGCCTCTGCCTATTACCATTGTGGTCCATTTGCCTGTTTCCAGGCCAGGAACAGTACTGAATGTGTCAGTTCAGCACTCATCAGTTCTCTAGATTCAGAGGTGTATTATGTATATATTGCAAATCTTTGACTCTCTCATGCTTTAATAGGGAAACAGTATGATGAGAAACACAAATACCCAACAAAATGTGTTTGGTTTTATTTCAGTGACAACCGTTTCCTTGTGAAATTATAATGTACATTTCAAATAAATGTATTAGTTTAAAGTTTCTGAAAATACATTTGACATGAAGTGCTACCTGATATTCAAACTGTGTGACTGCATTAAAGTGTGTATAATATAAAAACAAAGGCAGACATTAAAGGTGTGTCACTCGAGTGTCAGGAATACAAACGTGACTGTGTGGCTTTTTAGGTCCCCAGCCGTGATTGGCCCTGCCTCCAAGGCTGAGATAATCTACAATGATCATGCTGGCATCAGACAGCCAATGGTGGCATATTACCTCACCCCCTAGTAAAAATTATTAGTGCCCTTCAATTTTTGACTGTCCTATTTTATGTGCTCCCTTATATCTTGTTCCTAGAATCGTCGCTGATTGAATCCCTATTGGCTTAGGGACTCCTGATTTGGGCAGGAAGGGAACTTTGTCATTAAATATGTTATACAGGGACTGCAAACACATGACTGTTGAAAGAGGAACGTTATTGCCCCCACACAAGAGTGAAAGAAGACAAGTGTCTATTTGTTGTATAACACTGGTACTTACATAATAAGCATTTATTCCACTGAAACTTTCCATCCTCATTTGGCTACACAACATGCCCATTGTAATATTGCTGAACTGTGAATAATAAGATTAATAAATGGAATGGCCGAATGCCTTACCCATTATGGACTAATGTTGTATATTGTTTGTTAATTCACTTCAACTAAAGTCATAAAAAAAACAGTAACATAATGCAAATCCTGGTGTCAAGGTCATATCGCTGTCCCAGAGTACCCCATACTGTGCATGGTGAACTGTAGCTGGTATTGAACTTGGAACTCCTGTGTCTCACCAGTCAGATCCCGTTTGTCAGCGGAAATTGTAACGCTTGTTCTGCATTCCTTCTGTAATTTAGTATTGATTGCAGGCTAGGCTCATCATCACCCGCTCATTTAGCCCAAAGAAGTAGAATTCAAACTCACCTGCATGTGTCTGCTCAGTTGTTTGTTTATGGTGGAAGATTTTATTTCTTCCTTTCTTACTCTTGGCTATATTTCTTTGTTACGAATCTGTGCAAACATTAATAACGTTTTCTGCTTACAAACTAACCATAAGATCTATGACAGCTGTCTTTTCCAAGTCAATAGGGGAGTCCTGTAGATGAATGGTATAAAAGTGAGATAAAATAGATCTCAGGCCTTCAGGGATGACCGTTTTTGGATTCTTTTTATAACCATCATAAAGGTGGGTGTATAACTGGGCTAAGCTTTTACTTATATGCCATGAAGACCAACAGCCTTATGGATGTTCTGATATTCCAACATACATCAGTTTTACCTGCTTTATCACAAAATCTGTTTTGACCAGTTAATATATTTGAGTACATGGCAGGTGAGCAGTAAATTACCGTATTTTTATTTGTATAAGATTATGTGTTTTTTTCCTAAATAAATTTAGTCTAAAATTGGAGGTCGTCTTATACACGGAATGTCCCAGCAGGGGTTAAAAAAACGACTTGTGCGTTGACCTAAGTTGGCGCCTGCTGCATTTCAGTGTGCCACGACCCACACACACACCTGGCCTCCCTCCTGCCGATCCACTTCCGAATGCTGAGGCAAGGAGGAAGAGGTTCCTATAGGCGTAGGAGCTGCAGCAGACATCAGCACTCACCACCAACGGAGCTCCAGAGACATACCATGCCATAAAAGGATTAGCCATATTAAGGTTTGCACCACCTCAGGAAGGTCTTGCTCTCTGATTGATATTTATGGGGGTGGAAATGGGGATCAGAGAGCTTAGGGAATGCTACTGTAATGTCTCAGCATGCCCTCACAGCACCTGCTGTAGTGTGTCTCCCAGCAGAGGCGGCTCTCTAATTAGGCGGTTTAGGCGGCCGCCTAAGGCCTCGCGGCCGCCTAAACCACCATAGGGCAGACTGACATGTCGGGTCCTCGAGGACCCAACACAGGAGGGGACCCGGCGGCTTGCCCCGGCGGCTTGCCCTGTATGCCGCCGGGTGCGAGGCCCCTCCTGTCAGTCTGCCCGGGAGAGCCAGCCTTCAGTCTGCAGCTCCGCCGGGTGTGAGCTGCAGACTGAAGTGTCTCGCGATCTCCAGCCAATCAGAGCGTTGCCGCAGGTTACCACGGCAACGCTCTGACTGGAGATCGCGCCGGATGCAGAGCTGCAGACCGGAGAGACCACTGGGCCACCAGGAAGTCTGCCACCACTGGACCACCAGGGAAAAAGGTACCTGACACCCCATCTGTCACCCCCCTCACCCTGTCACCCCACCTGTCACCCCATCTGTCACCCTGCCACCCCTCCTGTCAACCCATCTGTCACCCTGCCACCCCACATGTCACTCCGTCACCCCATCTGTCACCCTGCCACCCCCTCACCCTGTCACCCCACGTCACCC